TACTTACTGTTAAGGGATGAATAAATTATGATTTGGGTACTCCGTCTTTGGGTGAACTATACTTTTTTGCACACAAAAAAATATAAAGCTTTTTTTTATTTTTTTATTATTTAAGTCTAAACATAAATGAAATTCCACACAACTTATTGAAAATCATATAAGCAAGTGCACAGGAATAAATAACAGCAAAGTAATCTAACAAAAATAAATACCACACACTGCTATAGCTTGCAAACCATTTTAATGCAACATTTGAAATCATTTTCTGATGAAGGTTGCATCATGCATGACCAAAATGTTGCATCAAAATATAAATTGCTGGCTATAGCAGTGTACGGAATTCATCTGTTTTTGTTAGGCTATTATTTTATGTCTGCGACTGAAAAGTAAAATAATAATAGTAATAATAATATAAAAATACATTTATTTAACCCCTTAACTGTCACTCACATTTTTGAACATAGACGTGAAAGTGCACTATCCAAACTTAAAGTTTTATAATTCATGAATGAAAACATTTTGTAACATGATTTTGATGTACCATTTTCATGGTAATGCAATGTCTGATTTTAAAATGGTTTTCAAAGGATGAATTTTGAGATTTTAAGTTTTCAATTGATATATCATTTCTGATGATTTCTAAAGTGTGACAGAGAAAAAGGCAACAAAGAAGACTTTTTGTGACAAAGGTCAGAACTCCTGTTGTGATGTAGATTTTTGAGTTGCACTCTTTACTTACTGTTAAGGGATGAATAAATTATGATTTGGGTACTCCGTCTTTGGGTGAACTATACTTTTTTGCACACAAAAAAATATAAAGCTTTTTTTTATTTTTTTATTATTTAAGTCTAAACAAATGAAATTCCACACAACTTATTGAAAATCATATAAGCAAGTGCACAGGAATAAATAACAGCAAAGTAATCTAACAAAAATAAATACCACACACTGCTATAGCTTGCAAACCATTTTAATGCAACATTTGAAATCATTTTCTGATGAAGGTTGCATCATGCATGACCAAAATGTTGCATCAAAATATAAATTGCTGGCTATAGCAGTGTACGGAATTCATCTGTTTTTGTTAGGCTATTATTTTATGTCTGCGACTGAAAAGTAAAATAATAATAGTAATAATAATATAAAAATACATTTATTTAACCCCTTAACTGTCACTCACATTTTTGAACATAGACGTGAAAGTGCACTATCCAAACTTAAAGTTTTATAATTCATGAATGAAAACATTTTGTAACATGATTTTGATGTACCATTTTCATGGTAATGCAATGTCTGATTTTAAAATGGTTTTCAAAGGATGAATTTTGAGATTTTAAGTTTTCAATTGATATATCATTTCTGATGATTTCTAAAGTGTGACAGAGAAAAAGGCAACAAAGAAGACTTTTTGTGACAAAGGTCAGAACTCCTGTTGTGATGTAGATTTTTGAGTTGCACTCTTGTCATAAATTAATCTATTAATTTCCTACATAATTTTTAAGAAAAAAATTTGGTAAAATATCTATTTAGGAGTCTTAGACCTTTCCAACGATATAAAGTTTGTCATGATTAGATTAGGATTTAATTGTAATATAGTGAAGTAAACATAGGCGTTGGGGACGGGTGACAGTTAAAGGGTTAAAAAAGTTATTATTAAAGGTTTAATGATGTCAGTTATATGTTCCTGTAGATGAGATGGATTTCATTGGGGAGAGCGTAATAATAATAATATTTGTTCTTGGTCGGTTTACATAGTAAACAAACACACAAATTGTATAAAAAAAATAAATTTATAAAAAAAATCTTTTTATAAAAGTTTACATTTTATAAAGCTATTATAAAAGGTTTAATGACTTGTAGTAACGCTGGACATGTCAGTTATGTGTTCTTGTAGTTGGGATAATAAATCCTGCATTTCCATGGAGAGAGCATGGCCGATATCGTTGGCTGCACGTGACAGGAAGGTGTCCATTGCCTCTTGCACTTCTGAGCATTTCACTTGATCATCCAATGTCCAAATAGGAGCATGCCTCCTATCAAAACGCTTTGTGATGGGGAAGTGTAGATGACCTGGGGAACAAAGTTTGAAAGTAAAATAAATTAAAAAACTACAATGGTGACTATATTTGATCACTTAAGATGTCTTATTTATTAGCTGAAAAAGCTGTGTAAGCACTGGTTTGTTTACCGGTCAGAACTTCTTCATAACTGAGAATCAGCATCCACAGAAGCTGAAGGAGTTCATCCCATTTTCTCCACTTCTCTGCTCCATCCTGGCACACCATGCAGGGAGATCATGCGAGTTCAGCTGTTATGTAGAATAACAATGCAAAATGCTAATTTGTAATATAATAGTGCAATGATCTTTTACAGAGGGGTCTGAGGCCAGTGTGGAGCTCTTGAGGTAGTGTAGCAGCAAGTTTAGAGACATGGGCAAGCTTGTCTTCTGAGAACAAGCCTCATCCAACAGCAGCTTCAACAACTTGCATCTCAGCAGCTTGCTATCCAGAGTCCTCAGCAACAAGAGTCTAGCACACACAATGAGAAAGAACGCATAATTAGAAATGTACATAAATGCACTGTTATAATACAAAGAGCAGCAAAAACTCTTCATTTAGAGAACATTCAGTAAAGGTCAAATGATTGCAATATGTAAAATAGTGCAAGCACTGATTAGCTATGGGTTTGTTTTTTTTTTACCTTATCTGCCTGCAAGAATGCATTCTGTTAAGACAACTGAAGAGTTCTTCTGAGAGTTTGTCTGAACTGTAGTTGGGGTTCTTGTCCACCTCCAAGGCCAATGTTAACATCCTCTGAAGAGATAACACAATCCTGTAACAAATAAAGTAAATGTATCTATTTAGCAAAGAAAGAAAGGACAATCCAAACTGTTTTTTACAGACTGTCGTTGCATGGCACAAATATATCACTGTTAGAAATGTTGTTATATTACCATTCAATGTTTGGGGTCGGTAAGATTTTTTTCATCGAGGCTGCATTTATTTGATCAAAAATACAGTAAAAACAGGAAGAGTACAATATTATTACATTTTTTTTTTTTAAACAAACTTTTCTATTTTAATATACTTTAAAATGTAATTTATTCCTGCGATGGCAAAGCTGAATTTGCAGCAAAAAAACACTAGCTTCTCTATTCTTTTTTTATTCTATCTATTTGTTTTCTTTTTATTTATTATACAATTAACAAAAGCAAAAAAAAGGCCTCTAACACTAGCTTGCTCTATTCTTTTTCTATTCTATCTGTTTTCTTTTTATTTATTATATGATAAAAGAAAAACCTTGCTATGTGTACTGCGTTAAGCTAACTGAGACTTGTTATAGCACTTGCATATCATTGCTCTTTTGTTGATTTTGATTGCTTCCATTGTCCTCATTTGTAAGTCGCTTTGGATAAAAGCGTCTGCTAAAGGACTAAATGTAAATGTAAATGCAGCATCATTACTCCAGTCTTCAGTGTCACATGATCCTTCAGAAATCATTCTAATATGCTGATGAAACATTTCAAATATATTATCAATCATGAACGTAGTTTTGCTGCTTAAAGTTTGCGTTCAGTTGATACTCTCCGAAATTGCGCTACGGTTCGGTATACGGTTCGGAAGAGACAAATTGTTGAATAAAGTCGTTATTTTTGTTTTCTTTGCGTACAAAAAGTATTCTCGTCGCTTCATAAAATTCAGATTGAACTACTGATGGCAGATGGATTATTCTGACGATGTCTTTCATACTTTTCTGGACCTTGACAGTGTAATTTATTAGGCAGTCAATGGGACAGTCACAAGCCTCCCGGTTTTCATCCAAAATACCTTAAATTGTGTTCCGAAGGCGAACAAAGCTTTTACGGTTTTGGAACGACATGGGGGTAAGTGATTAATGACAAAATTTTCATTTTGGGGTGGAGTAACCCTTTAATTAAAAAAATAATAATAATCTTACTGACCCCAAACTTTTGAACGGTAGTGTATAATGATAACAAAAATTATCACTTCATATACTTAAGATAGTTGTCCTCATTCTTTGGATATTCCACATCTTTTGAGTGGTTCACTGACTCCTTAGCAGCATTCATCATCCAAACTATTATATCCCTAAGAACAAGAATCATAAAGGATTATGCCAAGCCAAAACCAATTGCAAATTAGGGACTTAAATAAAAACGGCTCCAACAATAGAGAATATAACTCACTTGACTTGCCCAAATGTTTCATTGCCACATGAAAGCATCTTCTTTGCAACAGAGTGATGAAGACACTGAGACCTGAGTTTAAAATGAAAATCATCTTCTAAAACCTGCAACACATATTGCAGGAGCATGTACTGGACCTCTGTCCGCAACCTCATAGCGTCATCCTTAAGACAGGAATAATGAAGCACAGAATGTTGAAGAA